CCGGGAATTGAACCCACAATGTCGAGATTACAGGTTCTCGCTCTAACCCATTGAGTTATGCGGGCTGTTATCTGGGTTAATTGAGCTTACGACCGACTATATGCCAGATCAATTTCAACATTTAACCTAAATGGACATATAACAAGAACTATCGGAGGACAGTAACGCTCGACTATTCAAAAAGTTGTCACAAGGGTGTTTCATTGAGTATAATACATAAAATTGTCCGAAAAGGTACACTCCCTTCAGTAGTTATGGAGATACCAGCTTACAAGCAAACATTTATCTAGAATTTCTAAGTTGAAAAATGGGCATTATTATGCAAAAAAGCAAATCAGAGTTATGGAACTTGTGCCAATCATCTTAGATAATCACAGACAACAAGAGTGTGAAGTTTCAATCCATTCTCTTCAGTAGTTTTGGAGATACCAGCTTAATTTCTAAGTCGAAAAAGGGGCATAATTATGTAAAAAAGCAAATCAGAGTTATGGGACTTTTGCCAATCATCTTAGATAATCGCAGACAACAAGAGTGTGAAGTTTCAATCCATTCCCTTCGGTAGTTATGGAGATACCAGCTTACATGCAAAAACTTAACCAAGAATTTCTAAGTCGAAAAAGGGGCATAATTATGTAAAAAGCAAATCAGAGTTATGGGACTTTTGCCAATCATCTTAGATAATCACAGAGAACAAGTGTGTGAAGTTTCAATCCATTCCCTTCAGTAGTTATGGAGATATCAGCTTACACGCTAAAACTTAACCAAGAATTTCCAAGTCGAAAAAGGGGCATAATTATGTAAAAAAAGCAAATAAGAGTTATGGGACTCGTGCCAATCCTCTTAGATAATCACAGAGAACAAGTGTGTGAAGTTTCAATCCATTCCCTTCAGTAGTTATGGAGATATCAGCTTACACGCAAAAACTTAACCAGGAATTTTTAAGTCGAAAAAGGGGTATAATTATGTAAAAAGGCAAATAAGAGTTATGGGACTTGTGCCAATCATCTAAGATAATCACAGAGAACAAGTGTGTGAAGTTTCAATCCATTCTCTTCAGTAGTTATGGAGATACCAGCTTACATGCAAAAACTTAACCAGGAATTTCTAAGTCGAAAAAGGGGCATCATTATGTATAAAAGCAAATCAGAGTTATTGGACTTGTGCCAATCATCTTAGATAATCACAGAGAACAAGTGTGTGAAGTTTCAATCCATTCTCTTCAGTAGTTATGGAGATACCAGCTTACATGCAAAAACTTAACCAGGAATTTCTAAGTCGAAAAAGGGGCATCATTATGTATAAAAGCAAATCAGAGTTATGGGACTTGTGCCAATCATCTTAGATAATCACAGAGAACAAGTGTGTGAAGTTTCAATCCATTCCCTTCAGTAGTTATAGAAATACCAGCTTAAATACAAAAAACTTAACCACAGGGACGCCGACGCCGACAAATGGGTGACTACATTAGCTCGATTATTCTGCGAATAGTCGAGCTAAAAATCAAAAAAAAATTATACCCAACAAAGTATTCACTCTTGACATCCTAGCATGCTGTTTACATATTTTTACACAGGAGTTTTACAATAAACCTCATAATATCAACACACTAGTCTTCTCGTGACTTATAGTTGCCAATATCCATTTTTTGTGAATCATGGTTATAATGTACACGAAGAAAATATTCCATCTATATATTTGTTACTATTTGCTGTTAAATTTTAGATATATAACAATTGCTAAATAAACAAGAGGGCCATGATGGCCCTGAAGTCGCTCACCTGTATATAGGCCCCCGGAGCGGGGCCAGTTTAAACCCCAGGGCTTTTATTTGAACAAACTTGGTAGACATCCATTAGAAGATGTTTCATGCGAAAACAAGGTCTAGCTCGTTGGGTTTTTTCACTGTTGTACAGCGTCCACCGGATATAGCCCCTAATAACACCGAAAACGAAAGTAGAAAGCTTCACACCGAGTACACCCAAGGTAATGTTTTAACTTATTTCTTCATCATAACTTCATCGATTTTTCCAAACAAAACAACATTGTGAAGCTACATGTTTCTAGTTTGAGAGCAGTGTTTGCTTTTGTCTGCAAATTGAATGCTTTTTATTAAATTGGTGATAAATTGTAGCGTATTTGTTGTCATTTGCGAACGATGTTGATATTAACCACTAAATCAAGCCCAAAACGCATTTGTTGTATGAAATTCCGCCTTGATACAAACTGTAGTCATCCCTCTACTTATATTTGAGTTTTCACCCTTCACCTCGAGCTGCTTTTAACAAAGTTTTCGAAAAACGGCCTTAATTGCCTTGTGTACAGAGTCTAGCACGGATGTGTACGGGGTGTAGATGGAAAAGTGTTAGCGAGTTTACGGGGTGTAGTAGGTAAACCAATGTCATTTTCTGCAAAATAAATTCAGTACCAGAGCATATACACACACGCTGATGAAGAAAACGATCAATGTCGGGAGCAAGGAAAGATTTTAATTTTATAAAGGATAAAAGTGTTTAATTAAATTATAAACATGTTACGCAACATGTATATTAATTGCAGTAAACTGTTTTCGTCCTGCTAGACCACGTTTTATGCTTGACTATAAGTTAATAGGAAAAATGTAAAACTCAAAAGACCACAATTTCAATCCATATGGGTTTACAGCAAATTCTATAATTTGTCTTAAACAATATCAAACCATGTTCGAGTTATGCATTGTGAACTAAACTTGATCTAAACTTTTTATATTGGTTTATTAGATTATATATATAAATCCCCATTCGGACCATTTTCATTCAGCGAGTTGGTCAGAAGACTCTTCAACATGCCTTATAAATACCGACAGACACGATTCAACTTATGGTTGTGATGATGTGACAATAAGAATTAAATGTAGTTATACTGTAATTAAGGCTCAAAAACACTAAAAAGTAAAATTATTTACCAAATAACTCTGTATCGTCCTCTAATTTATCCATGTTTAGTATGAAATGAGATTATTTCCAATTAAAAATAAATATAAAAGACTATACTTAAAAAAATATGTGACTGCTAGACACCATACACATCTACTAAACCCTGTTCATTAAACTACTACACCCCGTTCACTTGAAATTGCTTTCTTTGCTAGACTCTGTACACAAGGCAAAGCTGTTTTTTTGCAAATTTTGTTAAAAGCAGCTTGAATTGAAGTGTGGAAACTCAAATATAAGTAGAGGGATGACTACAGTTTGTGTTAAACAGCGAATTTTGATACATCAAATGCTTTTTGGGCTTAATTTAGTGGTTAATATCAACATCGTTCGCAAATGTCATTGTTCGCTACATTTTATCGCCAAGTTAACAAAAAGTATTCAATTTGCAAACAAAAGCAAATATTGCTTTAAAACTATAAACAATAAGCTCCACAAAGTTGTTAAGTTTGGAAAAATCGATGAAGTTATGATGAAGAAATAAGTTAAAACATTACCTTAGGTGTACTCGGTATGCAGCTTTCTACTTTCGTTTTAGGTGTTTTAGGGGCTATATCCGGTGGACGCTGTACAACAGTGTTTTTAAAAGAAGATTTTTTTCAAGTTTTTTCTTAACACATATAGTTAAAAACAATGACACACCTGGGGCAGGGCCAGTTTTGACCCCAGGGCTTTTATTTGAACAATCTTTGTAGACACTTACTAGAAAATGTTTCATGCTTAATATCTAAACTGTAGCTATTCGGGTTTTTTCAAAGAAGATTTTAAAGTTTTTGCTATACACATATAAGGAAAAATAAATGTCCCCCGGGCCGGGGCCAATTTTGACCCCAGGGCTTTTATTTGAACAAACTTTGTAGACACTCACTAGAAGATACTTCGTGCTTGATATCTTAACTCGAGCTATTTGAGTTTTTTCAAAGAAGATTTTTTTAAGATTTTGTTATACATATATAAGGAAAAGGAATGACCCCCGGGGCGGGCCAATTTTGACCCCAGGTCTTTTATTTGAACAAACTTGGTAGACACTCACTAAAAGATGTTTCATGCCAAATATCTAAGCTCTTGCTCTTTGGGTTTTTTAGAAGAAGATATTTAAAGTTTTTTCTTTTGGTTGCCATGGCAACCAGAGTTCTGCATGGAATTAAATTCTTTGAACAATTTTCAAAGGTGACCACCAAAGGAACATTCCTGTGAAGTTTGGAAGAAATTGGCTTAGTGGTTTATAAGGAGATGTCATTTAAAGTAAAAGTTTACGGACGCCGGACGGACGGACGCCGGACGAAAAGCGATCACAAAAGCTCACCCTGACACTTTGTGACAGGTGAGCTAAAAAGGTAATAATTCTTGTTTGACATTTCAATAATAAATGACATGGTTTTGTTATATTTCCATTAGCCTACTGTTTGTCAACTGTCACTGAAACCTTGATTAAACCAGGGCTTGACGACGCATGTGATTTGAAATATTAAAATTATAATGTGTTGCAAATATTTACCTTCTAAAACTTTTAATCGGTTTCTAAATTCGATGGTATAATTGAGTACATCTAACCTAAATTTGGATCGTTTTATAGGTGTATTCAGCGAAATGTTGAATTAATTATAGTCCATATTTGGTTCATGCTTTACCAGAGGCGGCTTTTTTTCATTATTTCCTCACCATTCTTATGAAGATTAATCGATTGAATAGCGAATTTTGTATGGCATTTGAAACTATACAAAAAGCTGTGACAATTTCTATATGCATATCTAACTTTCAAATATATAACATTTTGTTCAACTAGTACAATATACGTACAATGTACTCCTATGTAATTTCACCTTCATACCAGTATGTATATAATATTTGTATCCATTCAAAAATGGGTTTTCTAGAGATTTTATCTACATGGTTTTGTAAAGATTTTATCTACGTGGTTTTGTAGATTTTATCTGCATGGTTACCGTTTTGTTGAGATTTTACCAGAATGTTTATAGAGATTTTATCTTACAGGTATTGGCGCAAAGAAAGAAAAAGAACTAAACCGAGTCAGACATAATATTCTTTTATCAAAAGTATGATATACATAATATTCAAACAACAAAAATAACTACAAAAGAAGTCATTTAAAAATGTCTTTCAATATTCCCCAATAACACAAACTGGAATGTTGCGTTTTCTGGTTAAAGTTTTTGCAGATTTAAGAGTAAATGTAAACAACGATGGGCAACCGTATAGAGCAGGTGTGCCTGCACTTACATGCAAAAAATAATATTAGGATTCTAGTACAACTAGATAGCCTCAAAATTGAAACTATGCAGAGTTCCTTCAAGAAATTAACATCGCAATTATATAATTTATGTATAAGCTACTCACTTAATCCAAACCTTATAACAAATCCAAGCCGTATGATAAAAATATTGTTAAAAGAAGGTATCTTGACTTAAAATTTTTATTTGACTCGAGTGAATTTTACTAGGACCTGATCTCACGAAGCTCAGAAACACCAAATGCGATCTATTCTTGTAAAATAGATGTGAGCTAAATGCTGAAATAACCGAACAAGAAACATGTCCCTTTGATTATAAACCTTCAAGAATAAATTTAAGATCATGTATGTTGTAATTAAGGATGTAAGAACACTGAAGTGAAATTTTATCTATGTATATATCTATTCTTCTAAAACAATTTTCAAACATCAAAGAATATGTTAAATATGTACTGCAAATGTTTATAAACACTATAAAGAATCATTAAAATATATATTTAAAATATTGGCTTAGACTTTATCGAAAATAAAATTCTAATTACGTCCCTTTATTTATATGAAATGTAAATTTGGTAATTTCTTTACAAAATTTTTTTTTGAACTTACAATATTGATAAATCTTCATTTGAGCATCATATTTATGATATAAAACCCTAAAAAATGATCTTTTAACTGTATTTAATAATAACTTAATTAAATAATAACTTATTAGCAATTACATAATATAAATTCACAATTTTTAAGTGTGTTATGACCTTTAACCTTTTTTTGTTCTGACACATTAACAACAATATGGGTATTTATCATTATACAAAGAAAGAAGAAAAGACATAGTAAAAGCTGGCCAAATAAATTCAGTTCTACAAGTCATGGTACAAAAAGTTTGCCTTCAGAATGACATGCTTCATCTGTATACACAGAAAACAAAAATGTGTGTTGTGAATAAAATTATGATTGCAGTAGTTATTTTACAAAATATTCAAAGAATTCTCAAACTAATTTGCATATAAGTGGCAAGTTGCATTATAAAATCAAAGCGAAAATTTGGATTCTGTTACAAATGTTATTTATAAAATTAACACAACTGGGAGAATAGACATTTTCAAGTATTCTACAATGCAAAATACATGTAGTCTAATGTAACTAAACAACTGATTTTCATTTCAAAATGGTTTATACATACATGTATAATATTGAACAATATAATTTCTTATAAAACACCAATATTTATATTTTTATCACAGCTTAATTTCCCATACAGATTTTGTTTTATTCAGTTTTCATCAAAATTTGCTCTGTTTACAAACAAGTAAAAAATATTCTGTACAATGTTTCATAACATTTTAAAGCTGCATGCCTCCAGATGAGCCGAAATATTTCAAGAAAACAAGAAAATTGTACTAAGATTTTAAGGAAAATTCAATTAATAATCTATATATTATATACAATTTACATACTTTTTAGTATTATAATTGTGACTAATGCAGTAAGGGCTATTTTTGCATGTTCTGACCTATTTTTGGTAATTTTCGTAGAGCCATTTTCAATGTTAAAATTACTTTCTATGATCACTTGACAATATTTTACTTTCTTATACATTTTTTAAAAAATCATGAAAATAAGCATAAATCTGGAGGCATGCTGCTTTAACCAATAAACTATTGTCACTGCATATATGCTATAAATAGAAAACATATGATAAAGTATAGTTTCACATCTAGGTGAATATATTATAATTGAGCCGTGCCATGACAAAACAAACATAATGGGTTTGCGACCAGCATGGATCCAGACCAGCCTGCGCATCCGCGCAGTCTGATCAGGATCCATGCTGTTCGCTTACCAACCCTATTACAAGTAGAGAAACTGATAGCGAACAGCATGGATCCTGATCTGACTGCTCAGATGCGCAGGCTGGTCTGGATCCATGCTGACTGCAAACGCACTATGTTGGTTTTGGCGTGACGCAGCTCAATTATGATGAATATTTGGAATGATAACACCGTGTAACATATCAATAATCTGGTACTGGCTGGGCTATATTATCTATAAATTCACTATATCTTATCTGACCACCAGTAACACCGCCATCTCTAAACAATGCTTCCACTGAAAATATAACAAAAGTCAGATAAAATATTCTATACAACAATTGCCATACTAGTTTTTTTTAGTTTTAGCTCCATTGTGAAACAAGTTCTTGCAACTTAATCACTTTCGAGTCCACTTCCTAGAACCAACCAGTACTGGTGTCATATGAGGAATCATTGATTGTGACCCTAGAAGGGCTCAAACCCATGATTCCTGGGTTAAGCGGCAGACACCTTAACCACTCGGCCACTGCTCCCCTTTGATTGCCCTAATAGTTGTTTAATTTAAGCGTGTACCTCTCAATAAAAGTTTTAAGGGGTTTTACACCATGCAGACACTGCTGTTACTTTGATTGAGTTCAACATGAGAAATAATTAGTCAGCAATATTGAGTCAGGTCAGTTTGAACATATGATAAAAACTCTTGTATAGGTTGATCTTTGTTCACACTGTCAGATGGTGAAATCTTCATTTAACACTAAGCACTATGCTGGTGCCAAACTGGAACCCAAACAGTGACCCAGCAGTGTGGGAACAGCTAAATTTTAGCCTAAAAGGTTTATAATACTTACCTAGTAAAGACTGTGAACATAAATATATATTTTTTAAACTTTTCCCCTAGTCTATCATCTTTTTTTATCTGTTTACTGATCTTACATTTGTCTTAATGTATGAAGCTTTAAGTAACAATAAATTTCTTACATTCTCTGCGTGACACCCTCTCTCCAAGATTTAACAAAATATTCTTCACTTCATTAACCTGTACATAACCTTTGCCCTCTGTGTCATGTGCTGAAAGTTAACAAGAGGGCCATGATGGCCCTGAGGTCGCTCACCTGTATATAGGCCCCCAGAGCGGGGCCAGTTTAAACCCCAGAGCTTTTATTTGAGCAAACTTGGAAGACACCCATTAGAAGATGTTTCATGATGTTAAGTTTTTACTACACACATATAATGAAAAACAATGACCTCCGCCCCTCAGCCCCCCTCCCCCTTTGGCAGGGCCAATTTAAACCCAAGGGCTTTTATTTGGACAAACTTGGTAGACACCAACAAAAAGGTGTTTCCTGCTTAAAATCTAACCTCTAGCTCATTGGGTTTTTTAAAAGAAGATTTTTTAAGTTTTTACTATACACATATAGTTAAAAACAATGACACCTCTGGGGCGGGGCCAGTTTTAACCCCAGGGCTTTTATTTGAACAAACTTTGTAGACACTTACTAGAAGATGTTTCATTCTTAATATCTGAACTCTAGCTATTTGGGTTTAATCAAAGAAGAGTTTTAAGTTTTTGCCATACACATATAAGGAAAATCAATGACCCCCTGGGGCGCGGCCGATTATCCCCAGGGCTTTTATTTGAACAAACTTTGTAGACACCCATTAGAACATGTTTCATGCTAAATATCTTAGCTCTAGCTCTTTGGGTTCATTAAAAGAAGATTTTTTAAGTTTTTACTATATGCATATAGGAAAAATCAATGACCCCCTGGGGCGGGGCCAATTTTGACCCCAGGGCTTTTATTTGAACAAACTTGGTAGACACTCACTAGAAGATGTTTCATGCTTAATATCTAAACTCTAGCTATTTGGGTTTTTTCAAAGAAGATTTTTTAAGTTTTTGCTATACACATATAAGGAAAATCAATGACCCCCGGGGCGGGGCCAATTTTGACCCCAGGGCTTTTATTTGAACAAACTTTGTAGACACCCATTAGAACGTGTTTCATGCTAAATATCTTAGCTCTAGCTCTTTGGGTTCTTTAAAAGAAGATTTTTTAAGTTTTTACAATATGCATATAGGGAAAATCAATGACCCCCTGGGGCGGGGCCAATTTTGACCCCAGGGCTTTTATTTGAACAACTTTGTAGACACTCACTAGAAGATGTTTCATACTTAATATCTTAACTCTAGCTATATGGGTTTTTTCAAAGAAGATTTTTAAGTTTTTGCCATACACATATAAGGAAAATCAATGACCCCCGGGGGGGGGCCAATTTTGACCCCAGGGCTTTTATTTGAACAAACTTTGTAGACACCCATTAGAACATGTTTCGTGCTAAATATCTTAGCTCTAGCTCTTTGGGTTCTTTAAAAGATTTTTTTTTAAGTTTTTACTAAGTATATGCATTTAGGGAAAATCAATGACCCCCTGGGGCAGGGCCAATTTTGACCCCAGGGCTTTTATTTGAACAAACTTGGTAGACACCCATTAGAAGATGTTTCATGCTAAATATCTTAGCTCTAGCTCTATGGGTTCTTTAAAAAAAGTTTTTTTAAGTTTTTACTATATGCATATAGGGAAATTCAATGACCCCCTGGGGCAGGGCCAATTTTGACCCCAGGCCTTTAATTTGAACAAACTTGGTAGACACTCACTAGAAGATGTTTCATGCCAAATATCTAAGCTCTAGCTCTTTGGGTTTTTTAAAAGAAGATATTTGAAGTTTTTTCTTTTGGTTGCCATGGCAACCAGAGTTCTGCATGGAATTAAATTCTTTGAACAATTTTTAAAGGTGACCACCAAAGGAACATTCCTGTGAAGTTTGGATAAAATTGGCTTAGTGGTTTATGAGGAGATGTCATTTAAAGTAAAAGTTTACGGACGGACGGACGCCGGACGAAGAGCGATCACAAAAGCTCACCCTGTCACTTTGTGACAGGTGAGCTAAAAATAGTAACAATCAGTGATTTTCAGTGTCATGTGCTGAAAGTTAAAAGTTAACATTTTCAATAAAATTGAGATATGGCAGAAAATATTCACAGACATAAAGATTATCTTGTTCAACATTTTTTTCTTTATTTATTCATCTCGAGTTTGAACAAAGAAAGATTAACAATTCCTGAAAGTCTGATTAGCTTCCCTTTACAGGAAAAATACAAAACTGTAACACATAAAGAAAGTAATTTACTGATCTTTTACAGAAAAATTCCATACATAAAGAAAGCAATCTATTTCCTTTAAAAAGAAATATGTACAACATTAAGAAATCAACTTCTCTTTTTTGAGAAATCAGAAGCCCCCCTTAGAGGTACTATTGCACACATAATGGTTTCAGAGTTTTTGAAAAAAAATGTCAATAAAACAAATCTTGCCTGACAAATAACATTCTTAGTAAAGTACATGTATTTGCACTTTGATCCTGCTCTTTCATTTTTTTTAACATTGACTTAATTTAGAATCCAAACACAGTTTACACAACAGTTAACTGGTTGCAAGTAGAACAGTTGGTAGCTGGTAGAACAGTTGTGCCCTAAGTAAGTTTTCTTTTACCCTGCAATCGATTGCTATACACTATATCATAGAAGTTTATGTCTACAAAAAGTGACATAAAAGAAGAATATATCTTGTTAAACCAGTTTGTGATAAACAGCAGTGTTCATATCTATCTCAATTGAGGCATAACAACTGTTACTGGTTACTGCAAATTTTACTTTGATTTGTATTTAAAAACTGTTAACAAATATGTTGATGTTCATAGACCTGTTATGTATGGGAGTGTGGCTTTAAAGGAACTCCACTGAGCTAAAAAAAGCCTGAATACACAAATTTGAAATTTTAACATAGATCAAGTAAACCACTTAAAATGGAAAAATTTACACAGTATAATCAGTAAATATACTAAGAAATAAATTCACTTTCAATTTTGTGTTCAATTCATAGCCTGATTCGAGTGAAAATCTTTCCATTTTTAGGTCATTTTGCAGACTAAAACATGATAATTCTGGAAAAACTTGATGAGGGAATGAAAATTTTGTGCACAAGTTACTGCACAAGACCTACATCAAATCTGGTTAAAACATATTTCTAGTTCCGTTGTGTTAAAAACCCTTAGTCAAGTCCCTTTCATAAGATAAATGTCACAATTAAGGAAACTTTTTAAATTTTACCTCTAAAAGCATTTGTAATTTCCCTCATTGCATTCTCCTTTGTGTTGTGCTCATGCATAACTTCCAAAAATGAAGCAAAATCTACCTTCCCATCTGAAAATATACATGAAAAAGAGAGTGAGACTATAAATAGTGTTGAAGCATCACACTAAATACTGGTATATAGCCGACAAAGCGCTTGAATGATTAAATGCTAAAATCTTCCCTTTTCACATGCTGAAATGCTCATAAGACGTCTAATTCATCTCTTCACATCAATTTATATACATGTATAAAAAAATTTATAAAAAAAATGTATGAATCAGGGAAAAAATGATGATGATGATTTTTGCAAGCATCTAGAGGTACTGCTCAATCACTGTAGTGAGTTAAATCCTGAATTTTATCCTCAAATCCTATGTTATCATAGTCTGAACTTATCAAAACCTCAATTAATTTGGAATAATTAGACATTGTGCTCAAGTAAGGCATAATAGATATATGGTCACAATAATGAAAACTAGAAGCCAGGTACTTTCTAGTGTACTTTCATACTATGAGCAGATGTCCATCCCTTTTGTCAAAAAAAGACAAAATTATATAAACAAATTTTACTATTAAACTGTAACAGTACGATTAATGTGAATGAAGTGTTACACCAAAAACCTTCTATCAAGGATAGCCCCACTGTCTATCAATAGTCAAGGACATAATTTCAAGATACTGCATGCTTGTTATGTTGCTTTTCATTGGAAAATCATGATGCTTATAAAAGTATGTAGATTTTTATACAAAACTGCTTTCAATTTATGTAGAAATGTCACTTTCTTTCTCTAAACAAAAGATGCTTGTTGTATTAATTATAAATTTGTTATAAATATTTTTTAATAGGTTATATGGCCATATATAAATAGAGGATATTGAATGAGTGTAAGTTCCATACTGAATTTATTGCACGATTTGAATAAAATTACATTATGCGAGCCTCTGGCGAGCATAATATTATTTTACTCAACGAGTGCAATTAATTCAGTATGGAACTTACATGAATTTAATATTCTATTTATCACATACCCAAAATAAAGACCGTTTAAAGTGAAATAAGAGTCATATTTCATTGACGCGCCTATAGTATAACACTAACATTTAGCACTCTTTACAGTATGTTTGTATCACGCTAATGACGTCACGTCAAAATATATGCACGGCTGTGCAATTCCATATTTACGGAGTCGCAAAATCGGCACGGGTGTGTGATAAATAGTTGTCTGCAATATAACACTTGGTTATATTTCAAAACAACCATTTATATAGGGTCATATAACCTTTCCAAAAATAATCTTAATAACAAATAATATCGGCAGTCTTCAATGACATTTATAAATACCTTTGACATATTTCTGGTAGTAGTTGTGAATTTCTTCTTCTGTAGGGCTGTAAGATAGAGATCTCATTATAACTCCCATCTCGTCCTCGTTTGTGGTGTACCCTCGCTTAGCGATAAAGAAAAAACACTCCTTAAACACTGAAACAGAAACATTAACTCCATTAAAAATACATTTAAGAAGCATACACTGCATACTTTCTAAAAATTTTGATAACTTATCTTAATACAGAAAATTTTGTCAACTGTACATATAAAATGTTTTATGCTAGCCAATTTAACCTATCATTTACTAAATTACTATTTCTTAGAGCTTAACTTGATAGAGACAATATCAATGTATTGTTGACATTCTTCTGTCGATCAATAATCAATAAACATTTGCAAAAACTTTTATTTTGATAAATTATTTGAAGGTCTATAAATTATGAAAATTCACTTAAAACATATAGAAAAGCAGGTGGACATGTCTAATGCTAATCTGCTGTTACATAATGGACACATTTCATAGCAGTGATGACAAAATATGGTCAGAAAAAAAATCATGCAAAGGTTATTTAGAAATAGGACACAGCATATTTGCATGAACAGAACATTTATTTTACTAAAATCATTTAAACAGGCAAATACAAGAAATTAGGAGTATTTATCGTTACATCATTATATCACCAATATTTTTTCATCAGATATCGGTATATCGTCAAAATATATTGTCAAAGCTTGATTCTGAGATATTTTCGTTCTGGGTCAGAATCTCACTTACTCTGATATTTCTAAGATGCTCTGACATTAGACAATAAGGAATAAGTTGTGCATCTGCTCCCATAGAATAATATTTTCATCATTTCATATTTATTAATTTTTGCATAAATAATGTCTTAAATATAACATAAAACTTAATATTTTACGAAGAGTGTTCATCATTTCTCAGTAACGCAGTGTATTTATCAACAGTGTATTTGTCACATGACATTAGCTGATATGTCTTTATTTTGATCGTACACATGTTTACTTTTCTATCAAAATCGTTATGTTAAGAATATTTTCACAAATTAAACATGGAATTAATGTAGGAATGAATAATCTTTAAATGTATAGTTACAATTTATTCAAATATGAATTCTAATACGATTTTAGACGGTTCAAAACTGGCGCTCGAATTCCCCACGCACATTTCACCAAAAAAGGGTACTTATCATGATGTACATAGAGGCAAGATATTGCCAAGTCACAAAATAGCACAATATCTTGTTGCCGAGTACAATAAGTTGGACTAATCATCAAAATGCTATGCACCGAAGCAATGACAGCTCTACTACTTCTACAGATACCAAATTATGTAAGAAATTGTCAAGGAACTGCTCTTATACTATTTGTATCAGGCTAGAATTATCATAGAATCAGTAGCAAATTTTGTCTAAAGTATGAGACTTATGAATTTTCATACTTTTCTTATCCTCTTGATATGTTTTTCTCAACTTAAGTATAGTCTTTTTTAATCGTATGGAAGTAACAGTTCTAAAGAACAGAGGCTTTGGTCTATATCATGATTAATGAGAGCGTAACTTTTCATGTAGCACAAGTGCAATCAGTGATCACATGTGTTGCCTGCCCTATATAAAATAAAACAAAACATGAATTGCTTCAAAATTGATTTGTTTTAATATCAAATGGTATTTTTATTTGACCCAAATTTGATTAATAGGGGTGATTTTAATAGGTTTTATGTACGGCGCACAACTGCCAAATTCTGGTAGCCTTTGCAAATAGGATTGACCCATAACTTTACTGTCGCAACGTCAAAATAAAAGCGACATATAAAGTTATGGAAAACTATGAGTTATTATGCTTATTTGTGTAGTCAAAATAAATCGACATTGACGTGCTCATATTTTGTAGAGAAATATACTACTCATGCTGAATAAGCCTACACTATACTCAATATTTCGTCTGCAAGACTAACGGGCATCCAAAATGGGTGTGGCCGTTTAACAGGTTTACATTTACCTGTTTACAGGTGCGACAGGTGTGAAAACAAAGATAAAATACGTTTCTTATACTTACAATCGATATCATTCTGGCTGAAATACTTTGCCTGAAAAGAAAAAAAATAACAAAATAATCATAAAATCTCGATTTATCATAATATTCTAATAGATAAAATGAGATTAAAACATGACAAACAAAAACAAACCATCTTTCTAATACTGAAATCAAGCTATCGAGCAAACTTGTATCGACCACAAAAACGGTGCAGTGTGTAAAATTTCTATTTATACTTTTTTACGAACGGTGTATATATGTATGTTTACTCGTCGTGATATGAGCTTTTAATGAAACTGAAAGTAAGTATGGTATAACCGATTACCATTTCCAGTTAAATTTACTGTTACCGATGTCTGCTTTTAACTGTTTAATGTAAAACAATATATTTTTTGTACATATTGATAGATAAATAGATTGTCATACAGTAGATCTAATATGCAATGTTTTTGTTGCTTTTCTTTCTTTTTTTTTTTGGCCGGGGGGGGGGGGGTCCTTCATTTGGCTTACAGACAACTCACCCCCCAGACGATTCACCCTAAGCCATTTTTTCCAGACAATTCACCCATCAGACAGTTCACCCCACATTATTGGATTTTTGACACAGACAATTCACCCCCCATTTTCTTAACTTTAATTTTGATGAAATTTATCTTAAAATTAGAAGATGCAATAAACAAATTTGTTGTGTTTCTTTACTAAATTGATATTTATAGATTAGTCATATTTAAATTAATTATAATAATTTTTTACTTAAAAAATAATATTTGTTACTATACTGTGCCCCTCTTAGTTCACGGTACTTAACACTTTAAAACAGTAAAGAACACAAACAATAAACTTACACTACAAAAACTGTCATAAACTGTATCATTTAGTCATTTTTCTGCTATATGACACAAGGTAACAACAATATATTCAATCAAAATTAGTTTTAATTTGTCAGATGTAAACCGTGTGTCGGCCATTTTGAAAACAGTATGTCATCATTTACCTCGCGGTAATGGTGTTTTATTTCATTTTTTTCATGTTTCAGTTAAAATTTCTTTAAGTTATTTTGCATAATTTTAAATATTAAAAGTATTTTTACATTGTAACTCAAAATTTATTTTTTCAACAAACAAGAACATTTAGAAAATGATGATTGTTTCAGACGTATGCACAAATTTAATGGACTATTGTTGTTTTTTGCAGAAGTTTGTAAAATGTTGTTCAGTTTTACGTAAAAATCTATAGATTTAAATTATTTTGCACAAAAACTTTGTTGTTAAGGTTTTTGAATAAAATATGTCAATTCTGACCAATTATAACAATGGTCACATGAAAATATGCCATTACCATGAGATAAATGATGACGCGGAATTAGTGATGTTGAGTATATGTGATTATATTTTTACATATTATTTACATACAAACTATAAAAATTACAAATTCACCATAAATTTGTCTTAATTTGTTTAAGTGCTAGTGATGCTATTATAAGATGACATATCAAAGATATTAACATGTGATAATCATTTGCTCTTTAATCCCTTTCATTTTGAAAGGAATTAATTAATGATTATCAATCATAAGGCCTTAATCCCTTAATGCAATATGATTGAGTGATAACTAGTGATTAGATAGATTCCTGGCAGAGACATGTAATATTCCCAAACCCAAATGATACTAATCCCCATTATATGTGATAATGACATTAAAAGACAATCATGCAATATTTACCAAATGTCCTGATTATACTTAAATGACATAAAATGACATTTTGAAATCTTACAATATTCCCAAAAAGAAATGATACAATGTACTTCTTCTCCATGATATTTTGTTGAAGTGACAATCAAGCAATGATAAGGTGATAAGGATAATTAAACAGTTGTACATGTTTGCATAAAAATATCAAGATTATTATGGGCATTTCCCTCAATATAAATTATGTGCTATTTGATTTGATTGAATAAAATTATATTTTTTGTTGTATACATCATGGTATATGTGCTGTTATGTTTTGTAAATATGACATAATAAATAAATAAATAAATACCGACTTTTTAAATCTTTTTTACCCATAAACATGATTATCATTTATGAGGGGTGAATTGTCTTATCTATTTTGAGGGGTGAACTGTCTTGAGGGGTGAGTTGTCTTGCTTTTTTGAGGGGTGAATCGTCTGGGGGGTGAGTTGTCTTGTTACCCTTCATTTGTTTGAAATCATCACCTTTAACTAACACAACCATAAGTTAAGATAAAAAATAAATGATTGGTATAATTTGCCCCCCCCCCCCCCAAAAAAAAAAAAAAAAGAACTGACTGAATTTTGTTTATATATAATTAGCATTTCAGTGTTTCATATTTCATTATGTACCAGATAAGATCGGAATATATTTCACTGAGTGAGCACCGAAGGTATATTTCGCGAGTGGCGCTGCCACGAGTGAAATATGAACTTTTGGTGTTCACAAGGTGAAATATATTTCGATCTTACACTAAACTAAACACATTTTCTTTTTATTACATGCAAAGAAACGTTTTAAAAAGACTTTAAACCTAATACTGAATGAAAAGCACGCCAAATTATAATACAACGTGACGTAATTTACGACGTCACGTCATTAAGTTGGTTCCCAGTACTGTGCACGCTGGTATTTCACTGAAACAACGTAAGGGGCTTAAATTCAAAACAGTGAAATTATCAAAGTGGTAATTTCACTGTTTGAAACAGTGAAATTACCAGTTTTATATCACTGATATATTTCTATAAACCACCGAAAACCATGTAATAATGTTCTAATATTTTAAGCCATATTTTACAAAATCCAATATTCTCAACTTCAAATTTATCATGAAAAACTATTATACAGATATCTATATTTATCTATCTTTTAGTAAAAGTCAAATTGCTATTCATTGAAATAAAAGGTAACTGCTTAATACATATAAAAGGTCTGGTGCACTACAAATGGCACTTATGAAGTGCACTAGTAGTGCACCTCTAGTGCACTCCTAGTGCACTTTGTGTAACCTTTAGTGTGGACTCAACTGTACTATAACTAAACACTGCTAAGGACTGCTAAAGAGGCACAAAGGACTGCTTAGGAGGTACAAAGGACCTTAAATTATTTAAATATTTCCTAGGGCATTCTTATGACAAATTACAGTATGTTCACGCCTAGATAGCAACATCGTCAATATGATTTGTGAGAAAAAATATAATATTGGTGAATAGAAAGTTATAGCGTTTCGATGAAGATGACAGGGACGGTACTGATCTGCTATTAGAGGGACAACGGAAATGGACCCCTTTTTTTTTTAAAATAAAAGTGTTTTAATTTAACTGAAGTGCAACACAGGGAATCGTTAATTGTACATCCATAATGGGCATTTTATAAACATAAGTATCGTCTGTAGTGTTAACTATGATATATGATTAAGATGATATTTTAGAACTGAGCAAATAGTAAATTTGTGGTATGTAGAATGATGCTATGCTGTCATAGTAGCAAGTTTCAGCCACGTGCAATGGATGCTTGCCAGAAGCACAAAGGAACTGGTGATGAGTACCAATGATTTAATATCTATCCTCCCTCGCGCATTCGATAGATATTATTCAGTATGTTTAGAAGTATAAATGATATTATATTAAAAGGTAAAATGAAAATATATGGTGTGTAGATGACTAGTGTGTAATATGTCAGCTCACAAAAGCCTGAGGGTGGAGAGGCCTCAAACATTTTGCCCGGATCCGACGATAGTAAGTGGTCACATTGGAATTCATTTAGAGCACAGTTCAAAGCGCACTGTAATCGTCGTGGGCAGAGTCTGTCCAGCATGTTACGAGTACTGCAGTTGCTTCATTTCGCTAAGAACTGAAACTGCTTTTACATGCAGAGCAGTATGGTACTAGTGTGATATACAGTAAAGCAGAAGGATGTCCATGATCAACGTCACAATGGAAAGTTGACCTGCCTGTCCGCCGAATAAGATATTTCAGTATTTTATTACAGTCGGACTTAGTTTAAGAACTAATTTTAAATCATGTTACTTTTGTTTTGTTTTGTGGGAATTTATACTTTAGGTCACTTTTATGCTTTATATGCATAAAATAATCTGTAACTGTGGTTGTATGTTTAGTTTTCTTGAATGTTTATTTATGTTTTATTTCTCTGGTGTCTACAGTGATTTTCCTGCTTATATAACAGACTCTTCCCAATTGAAATTTTCTTTAAAATCATGCAGTTTTCCCAAAAATCTGAACTTACAACTGCTTTTTTTACTTCCAAAATTAGCAATTTCAGCAATAATTTTTCCCAAAATCAAGTGGCTAAGGCCTCTTCCCAATGAAAAGAGAAAAATCACTGGTCTATATGATTCATATTATATATATTTCTTGTTTCATTTATTCTTAATAAAGTGTTTTAGGTGCATTCTGGTAGAAAATATTTATAAACTTAACTTTAGTATTATAAAAATTAGAATAGAATGTTTTACATGTTGTCTGGATTTAGTGATGTTTAAAAAAATGTTTTTTGTCTATTTTTGTCTTATTTTAACCTGAATTTTGACACAGGTTAATCAGCCCTACATGTTTTTTGGATTCCCAAGCACCAATTCCAGCAATTGAAGGATGTCATGATAATACTAAGGAGAAACTCTGATAATACAAGAGACAGGGATAGGTATGGTGATTCTTTTACAGCAAGTTTATTACAAAGAGATTCAAAGATTCAAATAACTTTATTTGTGTTCAAAGGCCTCCGGCCCAAAATACATAGCATACATACAACAATATTGAATATGGTTGCGTCACCTTAACAATGTTTATTAATGCGAAAAAAGACTACATGTAGTTGTTTATGTTATCCATTAAAACATATACATAAAACATAAGCTTCCTTAATGTGATTTTATCATGTGTACCTATTAATACATAAAAATCACATTAAAATCTACCAGTTCTTTACTATACCCATCTAAACTAGGCTGAGATCAACTGGTAAATTATAAAACTTCTGAACAATTTAGCACTTTCATCCATATATTTTTCCATTTTAGCTCACCTGTCACAAAGTGACATGGTGAGCTTTTGTGATCGCTTTTTGTCAGGTGTCCGTCCATCCATAAACTTTGGCATGAAATATTTGGCATGAAACATTGTTTAGT